TATGGGGTCTAGTTTGGTATAGTTAGATATTACTTGCATCATTTTTGTTCTCAGTAGACTCATGTGCATTCTTTTTTAGAGTTTCGTTCTTTGACCTCTGTTGTGTTTAGATTATCATATTTCATGTTGCATTTACTTTTCTTGCTCAGTCGGCATGTGATTCCTACTGAATACCTGTTGTTTTGGTACTCATGCTACACTTTGTATATGTTTCATGATGTAGGTCCGTGCACGAGTTCTCAACGCTGAGATCGAGCCTATAGTTTCCATATTCGAAGGTGAGGGTAAGCACATGGCGTTCTAGACTTAACATGTCTCCAAATGTATATTGATGACTAGTCTTTTGTATTTTTAGAGAAGTCTTTGTATTTTGGGTCCACTTTTGGGACTTGTACTTTTTATTTAGCAGCTTTGTACTTATGACTTCCAGGTTCTGGGAGAGATATTATATATATATATATATATATATATATTGGTTTGCTTCCATTTAATCTCATGTTTTTGTATTTAAATTGTTCTTCCGCTTTGTTTTTGCTCTTACACCTATTACTTGTTGTTCCGGTTACAGGTTGGCATACCTACTGGTGGGTTATAATAGGTGTCATCATGAAGAATGGATCGTGACAACTTACTATGACATGCAATTTTTCCTAGCAAACCTAAAAAGGTATTAACTCATAGCCTGTGTTAATTAGCTAAATTTTGAAAATCAACTTATTGTTAGAAGATGAAGTTCCATTCTTTTTTTTCTTGAGCTTAACCAAACCATACCGTATCTATAAGCTAAAAATAGTGTTTTGGATTTAAATAAGTACAGTCTCCAAAAATTATCCAAGAATTTCCACTTAATTGGATGTCCACTACACTATTCCAGCACACTATACCGGAGAATATTGTAATGTTATTTCTAAGTATGATTTCAGTGTTATTTCCTGAAGTGTTGTTTTCTGATTTGATAATTATATCTTTTGATATTAACGTATATGAGGTTCGAACTATTCAGAACATATGCATACACAAGGAACTTGAGTTTGAAGACAACCTATATTGCATTAAAATGAAGATAATAAGGGAGATTGTCTTTTCGTTTCAGACTTGTACGTGATGTATGGATTACGTCCCAATCAGTACTCCTATGATGTTTTGAAAGACTTATATCAAACGTAGTAGTATTCTGTGTTTCTCTTATGTACTCTGTTGATTTCGTCTTATGTCAACATATGATTTGAGACTTATAGGGACTATATCTCTTAAATTGTATTTTATTACGTCATGCTTACAACAAGTAGCTTGTTTAGGGTCGCTCAAGATCCTATTCACTATGTCTCGTCTAGGGTGTACTTTAGATTGTGACATGATCTTTCTCATTTGTTTTCTTGGATGAATCATCTCACCACGACAGTGTAGCTCATTTGTGATGGAGGTGAATCTGGTGTACATTTCTTGAATGGTTTCACCTTCTTTCATAGTGAAGTTCTCATATTAAGTTGTGAGCATTTCCACTTTGGAATCTTTCACTTGATTGGTTCCTTCATGAGATGTTCTCAAACTTTCCCAGATCTCTTTGGCAGACTAACATGCAGAAATATGGTATTATTCAGTAGGTCCTATTCCACATACAAGCAACTTCTTTGCTTTATCGTTCTTTTCGATCTTCTTTTGATCAGCTTTGTTGTACTCCCTTTGTGTCTTAGGAACAAGTCTAGTTATTTTTCCTTCCTTAACTTTATTCATAGGAACATGAGGTCCATCCAGAATTATGTCCCACAATTTACTATCTTCAGCCATGATGAAATCATGCATCCTAGTTTTTCACCAACCATAGTATTGACCATTGAATCAGGGAAGTCTGGTGGTTGACCGGCCTTCTTACAAGTTTGGTGGAGAAGCCATCTGAGCAAGATTCTCTCTGGGTGTTAGTTGTATAGAGAGTTCAAGCTCTAATATCGATTGTTGGCTTATATAAGTTCACCACCAGTCAAGCGACCCTTGACTATATTAATAACAGATAGTAATATAAATGTTTGAAGTAAAGAACATGAGTGTTTAGATGGAAACCTCATAAATCAAAGGGAGGAGAAAATCACGATCTGACGCACATGACTTCTCAAAAATTCAATAACTTCAGGCAATTTGTGAGTACAAACTCCAGTAATCACAAAGGATTAAAATTTTAATCCTACACACTTTGTAACGCCTCTATTACAATACACAAAACAATAAGCTTATTGCCCTCTACATCAACTACCTCTATTTAATATAGACTTCAACGACCACAAAATAACTAACTCTAGCCAACAACTCAACTCATAATGAAATGAACTGACATGATCTATTATCCTTTATATCTTAGGAATACATTGAGAGCACAAGACACTAGACTCAAATAATAGCTTAAGACTGTGCAACACTCGATCAGGTCCTTTGTTACGTATGAGAGAGTAGCTCTTCCTTGAGAATGGATTTTGCTTTGAATATTCTTGATTGCAAAAACTAGGTTGTTTCTTGTCAACATGTCTAATGTATAAAGGAGACAAAACAACCGAGTAGCATGTCATTGATCGAGGACTTATGTTTGTTTTGTGCCTCTGCTGAAGTGCCCACCTACCACTGTGGTTTCTGCAACTTTACAACTGCACTCCATTGATTTATCATGAATGAAAAAGACTCGAAGCACTAGATCATATCCCTCTATAGTTGGTTAAATCATCAAAATTCAAAATACAACATAATCATTGAATGCTCGGATAAAAAAACATGTGAATGGCTAAACTGTCTATTTAATTGATGTTATAAATTATGAGCTTGTTATTATTTTATACATAATTTATTATCCTGATAGGTAACTAAAAAGGTTAGCATATTGAGATATGCAGATATGGTAAGAATACATTCACTATTTTATACAAGATTGTGTATGATTGCTTTGTTAGGATTCATGAGAGGAAAGTGTTGGGAAAAGGTGGGTCGGTTAATGAAATACATTATCTGTTACTCATTTATGTTGTAACTAGGATATACGGGAAAAGATAGGTTTAAATGCACAAACATGGCTTGTCTTCTCAGTTAGGATATTAATAAGGAAAGTACAATTGCTAATAAGGAGGGAAATGAATGGGGTGTACTAATATTAATATTTGATATATATGTGATAATTCCCTTTTAATTTCATGTGTGTAAGAATGATGATAGTGATAAGACTAGTGTTGAGTTGAGATTGTATAATGAATTAAAGTGAGTGTTGTCCATAGATCTAATTTGGATCGTCTTATGATGCTTATCAGTACGTGTGGTGTATTTATACTATTCTTGTTGTTACACCTTTCGTTGGTGTAGGTTTGTTTCTAATTGTATGATTGTGAGTTTGACGGTTATTCATCATCAACTTCTACTTACTTCGTCCTTGATGTGGAGGTTGCGTCTGTCTCTGGTGTATTTATTTTGTATTCTATTTGTTCTCAGTTAAAAACTCTTGTACATGTCTAGATTTGGTTCTTGGGAGTTGCTAAATGATTTATGTAAAGATCAATGGATTTCTTACCTTGTTTAACTCGTCGACTCAAACTTACTTCACTTAAAGGTTTTCTATTAAATAGAAATGGGTGGTAAGGGTTTGTCTCTCGAATTATAATTGATTAGGTGTTCGCACGATCTGCTAGTTTGGGTCATGACTATATTTTTAGTTGAAGACTGCACAATTTTTTTAAAAAAAATATTTTTTAATTTTTGTGTCAAGTTAAACTCAGACAAAGAAACTGAAACAGAGAGAGTACTACATTTCTTTAACAGCTCTCTATTGTTATATTGTTATTATTTTATCTCTGTGAGTTGCATATTCTTTGTTTTATTGTCACTACACCAAAATAATATTTAATGGCAATAGCTAGCTTAATTGCCATTAAATATATATGTTTAGAGGCAATTGACACTCTTTGTAAATGTCCCTAAAGCCTATAGCGACATTATTAGATCTAATGAAAATTAACTAATGTCAGTAAAAGCTTTAACACTCTTTGTTAATGTGTATATTTATTACCGCTAATAATTATTTTTGTTGGAGTATGTTCTTTAGCTTCTAAGTTGTTGTTTTTTCCAGTAAATTAGAGGTTCAACTAATCTGATATGCTAGACATAAAATATTTGTAATTGGTAATTTGTTTGTAGGATATGTTTTCCCCCAAATTAATTTATGAGGAAAATTGATAAATTTTGAATATAGAGCTATAAATAATTACCACTACTGCTGCCGCCTTCCTTCACTTGGAAATACCACATTATTTTATAGACTAAAAGATAAGGCTCGTTCCAAGTCAAATCATATAGGGGATTATTTGAAATATTTCTCTATAATAAAACCTTCAACTTAACTTTTTGTTTCAAGGCTTATTTAGGCCTCAAACTTTGGTCCAATAATTCGAATATCTTCATACATCACTCCCTCGATCCCTTGATATAACCTCCCATTTGCTACCTTATTCTATCAACGAGTGACTTAAAGCGATAATATTAGACTCGTAAATTTTTGATGGCCTAATTAATTTAAACATTCCAAATGTGCATGGTGTTACAAAAATTATCTTAGAATAGATCAATTCTGGACACCAAGTCCAACCATATAGTTCACGGAAAACTAAAATAGCAAGAAATCAAGTAAAAAGTAAAAAAAAGCAAAAGCAACTACACATGATATTGATAACTCATAAGAAAAATACAAAACAGAAACTTTTACTGATCTTTGATTTTATTCAATATTCATGCCATCAACAGTTTGAAAATAAAAAATAACACCTTTTTTTACCCTGCCTCGGGAGCCACGCCATCACTTTACTCAGGCCTGAGTGACTCAAATTCATAACCTTAAGATTGAAAATGAAGGATGTTTACCATCTGAACACCTTCATTCATTATGTACGTAAAAAATAAAGAGGAAAAAGGGGTAATAGAGATATCCTTTATTGCTTTTCATCATAAAACTAATTACTCATAACAAAATATATATATATAAGAAAGCCTTCATATATCTCAAGGCACAATTATACATTTAAAATTACAAATATATGCTAAAAAAAACACTTTACTTTTCAGTATCACATAATAATACAAACATATTCACCAATATGTAGTGTTAATAAAAATCTCAAAAAAGAAAAGTAAAATTAAATTTACCTAATAATAGTCACACTTTAGTGACAAGGTTTAAGAGGCTTCCCACATAGACAATCATTGTAAGTAAAAGATGAAGCTTCAAGATGATCAAACGGAGAACCTTCCGGAATCTGGCCACAAAGATGGTTATGACTAACGTCAAAGTGACCGATAAACGTCGCCGACGATATCGATTTTGGAATCCTTCCTTTTAATTTGTTGTAAGATAAATCCATTACCATAAAATAAGATCTTTCATCAAATGAATCAGGAATATAACCTTCAATAGCATTTTTGCTCAAATTCAAAATGTTGATACGTGAATTAATCAAACTAGGTGGTATAGTACCAGTAATATTGTTACCATCAAGATTTAACGTTGCAAGTACGTGCATTTTACCTAGAGACGGAGGTATGCTACCGGAAAGTTTGTTCAATGACAGATCCAAATCTGAAAGCCTGTAAATATACGAAATCGAATACGGTATATGACCTGTTAACTTGTTTCGACTCAGTAAAGCTCGACTCAACATCCGTAATTTTCCGAAATTTGTTGGGATGTTTCCATAGATGAAGTTGTTTCGGAGATCTAAATGCATTAAAGATGATAAGTTGGTTAATGATCGAGGTATGTAGCCAGTAAGTTGATTTTCAGCTACGTTTAACACTGTGAGTCGACTTAATCGACCTATAGTTGAAGGGATTGAGCCGGTGAGCTTGTTTCCGACTAAGTCGATGATTCGTAGGAAGGGTAAGGATGTAATACATGATGGTATAGGTCCAGTGATGCCTTTCCAATCAGCTATAGTGAGACTTGATAGTCTTTCTAATTTGCATATAGATGGAGAGATCGTACCGGTCATGTAACCGGTACGATGAGCTTTTTCGAAGAGTGGATCTTCGGATTCACCGCGGAGGTTTATGTCTGCTACGCGGTGAGTTGTGGGATCACAACTCACCCCGTACCATTCATGGCAACAGTCGTAGCCTTTCCATGAGTTGAAAATTCCTAAGTAAGATTCATTTAGGGCAGCTCGGAAAGATAATAATGCTGCCCGATCTGATGGCGAGCAGGAATGAACGGTTGAGATTATGGCAAGAAGCAGGATGACAATGTACATGAAGCTGCCCATCCTGAGGGTGTTGTTTTTGTTTCTCTCTCTAAAATTTTCTAAATTGATGCATTTTGAATAGAGTGAGACTAGGTAGGGCTGCTTTATATAGTATACAGTGAAGAGTTTTTTGTGTTTTGACGATTTTACCCCTCACGTGTGGTGTAACATTTTGAGTTAACAAGTCAACATGCGTAGGGATAAAGATTGAGATGGAAACCAAAAACAAAGAAAAAGAAAAATAAAATTAAAATGGGATTTTTATTAATTAAGTGAAGGTGATGAGAAATGGCAAGGTGTTGGACCACGTGGCCAGTAATCATCCAAGTTTCTGGAATGAACAAATTTAAAAACAAAAATATTAGACCCTGAAAACGAACAAAAATGTTATTACGACCTACTATTTATATATGGGAAAAGGGTCAAATGCCCCCTCAACCTTTAGCCATATTTCCAACTACACACTTAACCTTTTCGGGGGTCCTATTACCCCCCTGAACCTTTTTATTTTTATATTATTTCACCCTCAAACGCTGATGTGTCCACATACGTGAACTCACCTTCGTGAGGCGCGTAACAATGTAATAAAATGTCCACGTGGAGTCCAAATAATCCTCCCAACGGTAACTTTACTCTTTATATAACCCATACATTTATTTTTTATTCTTTTCTCAATTCATTTATCTCCATCTCTTTTGTTCTTGAACAAAAGCTCTCTCCCTTCTTTGTTTTTCATCCACCATTTTCAAAGCTTGAATTTAGTTGTTGTATCTTCTCCAACTAAGATTGAATGTAGGGTTTGCAATTTTCTCGGATTTCCCAATTCGACAGCTTGATTTTTTTTTCACTTTGTGTTATTAGGGTTAGGAATGTCAAAATGCAAAATTGAATAAGCTATGCATGGAAGAATCAGACCCAATGGTCAAAACCATAGTACGATGCTAAACATGGAAGTTTGTTGCATATGCAGACTTCTTGGTCGAAGTCGAATCCCGGAAGACGATTTTGGTCTTGCCCCTACTATGGTGTATGTGAATTTTCTTCAGTTGTTTGATTTTATTGGGTTTAATTGATGTGAATGTTAATAACATGAATATATTTTTTTTTATTTTTTCAGGAGAACAATTGTCATTTTTTCCGATGGAGAGACAGAGAAGAATCGATCCAAGATCCCAATTTATCCTCCCAAAATTGGTAGAACAAAATCAAAGAGTTGGAAGATGAAGTTTGGAGGAGACAGATTCAAATCAATGAGCAACAAGTTCTGATTGATAATTTGACAGTAGAGAAGAGGTTCAAACGAAGAAAGTTGAAATGGTGTATGTTTGATTGGAAGGTCATTTTGTGTATTTTGATTTGTGTTGTTGCCTTGTTCATCAACAACCTATTTCAAAGTAGGGTTCATTCAAGTATTGAACTAATTGAATTGCCATAACGTATGTGAGTAGTGAGTAGTGAAAGGAGTTGAAGCTCTCTTTTGGTTATCATATGTAATATGAGAAATTTTGTATATCAATATATGAATCTTTTCGGATAAAGTAGTTGATATAGTAGTGTCTATATTACAACAAATACGGGAGAAATTGAATAAACATAACACCATTTGTAAAATAGAAGGCCTTTAATTGACATAATCGATTGTAAAACAGGCCTCACATAAGGTCAAAGTACAATCAAAAACCAAAAACCAAAAACAAAAACATAATTTGATGTTCAATACTAATACATCATCATTCAAAATGGGAAATATTTTCATGAACTACTTCCTTTTGATTTTTTTCTTTGTTCCTCTCTCATTTCTTGAAGTTTTCTTGTTGAGATTGCTGCTTTTCCATTCCATTTCAACTTGGGTGCAGTACTTAGTTTGTAACCAATATCACCAGTAACATCAGCAGATTTTGTCACCTTTGTTGTACCAGTAGAGAAGATCTTACAACTTGACATCCCAGGCTGTATTCAAATTATGAAATAATTAGTGAGTGAGTTGAGTTTGTAGTTAAACATAAAAAAAAAATAGTATAATTGAATCAATAGAAAACACTTACATTAAGAGCTTTGAATCCATTTTCATCTTGAAACACACCCATTCCAATGACTGCTTGCCTTTTGTATGAGGTTGTGCTTCCCCTACCCCTTCCTCTTCCTTTGTTACTATTAGTTAACTGGTAATCAGCAGGTGTAGAAGATCCAACATGGTAATTAGCAGGTGATGGACATGTAGGAGGTGCACTAGTTGCTGCAGGTGGTCTTCCTCTTGCACTCTTTGCAGGTGCTGCAGATGCATTAGGTGGTCTTCCTCTTGCACCTTTTGTAAGTGCTGCAGATGCATTAGGTACTGCCAGTGGTCTTCCTCTTGACCTCTTTGCAGGTCCTGGAGATGCACTAGGTGCTGCAGGTGGTCTTCCTCTTGACCTCTTTGTAGAAGGCTCACCTTCTGTTTGTGCTTTCTATAAATATAGTTAAAAATAATTGTAGTTATTACATATGAGATCTCTATCACATACCAAATTAAAGGTAAAGATGTTACCTTTGGTCTGCCTAAACCTGAAGTTTTGCCATTTCCCTTGTCTGTATTTGATGGTTCTTCCCTTGTTGATGACTCAACCCTTTGTGGACATCCTCTCTTGTTGTGGCCTCTAACATTACAGTTACTACATGTCATGGCAAGTCCAGTTCTAGGTAGCTTTCCAGATTTTTTACTCTCACCAGCTTCCTTCTTTCTAAGTTTACCTGGCCTGCCAGGCATGCTTTTTATTTCTGGTGGTGCAACTGTGGGGTTAGTAGATACAGGCCACATCTCCATGTTTGTGACAGGTTGAAGGACATTGGCATAAGTCCTCAAGTAAGTTGCCTTACTATAGCAGTTGTCAATGTAGTCAAGAGGTTCACATTTCTTAAAGTAAATGGCAGCCACAGCATGTGCACATGGTATGCCTTTTAACTGCCATACCCTACAACTACAAGTCC